TTATTTAACTTTGCCTATCTATTGTAGAATTTGGCCTTTCTTTCTGGGGTTTTCAAGTTTTCCTTCCCTCCCTTACCATCAGACCTACAAGTTTTTAAGTGAGTATCTCTCTCTCTCTCTCTCTCTCTCTCTCTCTCTCTCTCTCTCTCTCTCTCTCTCTTTCTTTAGAGCTCTGTATGCTATGGGTATGAGACATTATATTATATAAGAAAAAAAAAAGGTACAGGTTTCTCATGGATCAAAGCCAGCAGTTGAACCTTTCGCAATGCTTCACAAGGTGAAACAAGAAACAAGAAATTATTCAATTAAACTTCTGTAGTTCACTGCTGCAGCAACAAATAGGCTATTTCCGAAGCAGTTTTACCAGGCTCAGAAAGAATATTCCCTCAGTACGGGCAAATAGAGTTGTGCCAAAGTACCAATTTTCAAGAGTATTCAACTGCAAAAATGATACTTTTCTATGTGCAAAAGAACTTGCCTTTGCTATTTTCTGAGAAGGAAACCTCCTTTCCCATTTTGGAAATCAATAAGGCTTTTTCCTCCATTGCTATGGGTTATTATAGAAAAACTATCCATAGTTCAGAAGATAACTTGTAGAAGATTATTATTGAGATGGAGATAGCTCTGCTCTCCCTGTGGGCAGCCATCTGGAGGCTGGGGTCTGCCGGTGGCAAGAGTATGAAGAGTATCCATCCAGCTTGGGGACTCTCAGACAAGCAGACATCTCAAGAAGTTTACAGGAGTGCATTTGGAGTCCAGGGTAATTTTCTTGCTATTTCTTGTAGGAAGCTATGATCAGAACACATTCAGGGCCCACTTTCTGATTTCTTTAGCTAAGTTTTAGCAAAAGTTTCTGATTTTACCACAGACACAGTCATATACAGGAAAGGTACTGCTAGCTAACCAAGAAGAGATGGCTCCTTTTAAACAGCTAATTGTAATGATGGCTTTATCTTCCTGTATGGAACTGGACACAGAATAACCAGTGGACACTTCCAGTACATTGGTGTTCACTGAGTAGGTAGTCTGCTCATGCTAGGCCTCCCCTGTTTATTATCCATACCATGTTGCCTAGCAGTTTTGACCATCTTGGTTTATTATAGTCAGCAATGTCAACACTGTTTGGCAACCCTCTCAATGAATATCCAAGTTGATCGCTTACAAGTTCTGCTTACCATGTAACTGTAAGACGCAGTGCTAAATATTCTGCTACCATACTGCAAGGAGCTTCTTTCCCCCTTTCCTCCTGAGCCCTCACCGGCAACACATCTCATGCCCATCATTTTGCTACAGTCTATTCAAGGAAATGTAAGCATTTTTCTATTATGTTTCTTAAAATTCTTCTAGTCTTTGTCGATTGCCCTAGTTTAAAGTAAGCACATTTTAAAATATTTGTCACAGTGGTACCCAGCATTTACAGTGGCTTTCTATTACTCCTGTAAAAAACTACCACCAGTGTAGTCACTTAAAACTATAGAAATATCTTATAATAAACGAGGTCAAATAGCAGAAAAATGGTGTCACACAGGAGACCCGCATTCCTTATGAAAGAATCAGATTTTGCCTTCCCCAGTTTCAGTAGCTGCCTGCACTCTGCAGCTTCTAATCTCTTCTGGCAATGGCATCTTCCGCCTTGCTCTTCCTCCTTTTCTCATTTCTATCTCTGAGTTTGACTTTTGTCTGTCTTCCCTTTTTACAAACTCTTGTGATTACACTGGACCTATCTGGATAATCAAGGATAGTGTCTTCTCATGGCTCTGAAATTTATTACCTTGAAAGCCCCCACACCCCTACTATAAGGCCACATATGCAAAGGTTCTGAGGATTAAGCTGTAGGATTTGGAGTAGGGGAGCCATGCTCTGCTTAGTACAGTTTGTTCAGAAGGAGGTGATGAGAGTGCCAAGATTTTCCCTAAGTGAGCACTTTCATGGAAGCTCATACACTTTCACATTTAGGAAGAAACGGGTTTCTCTTACCAGTGCCTCTGTAAAAATATGAAAATTCTCATTCCTGAAAGCCCCATCAAAAGTGTCCTTCACTCTGACTGACTTATGGGCTCAGCTCTGAATTTATCATCAGATTTTAGACAGGCTGCTTTGCATAGGTAAAGGCACTCAGGATCTACTTCTCAAATCTGGTTGAAAATACAGAGATACAGAACTCTCACAGCCCAGTTATCAAAATAAAAGGCACATCCTGACAAAAACAAGCAAACAACCAAAAAGAAATCAAAATCAAATGGCAACTAAAATGCCTCATTATTATCAATTAACCAACTGCAATGATTATATCATATTCACATTTGCACATTCTACATAGATACAAAATAGATCAAATATCTAATATAATAATTGGTTTCCATAAATGAAAAATGTTGAATTTTCACATTGTTCTATGAACACAATTTGATGTACAGTGTAGTTAACTCCATTGCTTAATATGTTCCATTTGACTGGATGTTACTATTTTCATTAGTGAATTTGTAAACTACCTTTTTGAAAGTGTTCAAAGTCAAATTATGATATTAGAAGAATGGACATAGATTAGGTTAACTAACTTCTGACTTAAAACAGGACAAGAAAATAATTCAAGAATCAGAATCTTCAAACAAATTACAGAATATACTTTTAATTTAGTATATCTTCTTGTGTTGATTTCAGAAGATCCATGTTCTTGATATCTCTTTCCACACTCACACATCTCCATAATTTAAGGAATATGTAATTTAAAGAAATGAATGTATTAATTAATTTGCATTTCGACCTCAAAAGTGTGTCATTGTATATGCTTTATCCCCATATTAAACATTGAAGGACAGCTCTCAGCCCCAAACGTCTTAAAAACTATGTGAAGAGTATTAATTATTTTAAATTGTTTCATGTGGTCAACACTTCTTTCCTCTTGGTTTCCACTTCTAATGTGATGGTTGAGTGGTAAGTGTGCCTAAAAATTTTGCAAGGAAAGATAAGGAAGTGCTGGGTCTCCCAACTGTAAATCACAAGGCTTTAAATCAGAATGTTAAATCTGATTCCAAGAAAAAACTCAAAAATGAAGCTGAAGTTATCTAAGACAAAGGAAGGAGTGTTGGGGAAGAAAGTTTAAGCTGTCAGCTGTAGAAACAGTGATAAAGAGGAAGAGAAGTCAATGATAAGTAGTCAATGATACCGAAGAATTTTGATCAGTGGACTTATGGGTTGAACTACTGCATGTACAGGACCAAGGAGCATCAGGAAAGTAACTTGAAAGCCAAACTTACTGTGTGATGTTGAGTAAGGTACATTTGAAGGGACTCGTACAATATATGTGGAACATTTTGGTTCCTACCTTCCCACCCCTTGAAACATCTGCTTCACTTATATGGACACCAGAAAATTTTATGACACTTTTAGGAAGATTGCAATTCTTTCATCATGTTTATTTTCTTATTCAATGGTTCTTTACACTATTTCATCAGTGGATAAACTTCCACTCATCTTGCGCACCTAGTGAAAGCTAAAGATTTCCTCCCAGTGCTGAAAGAGAACATACACCCAAGGAATCATTTTATAAATAAAATACCTATATGTTCACCACATTCCTGAAGATTATCAGCTGTGATGTCTTAGGAAGATCTACAGACTCGGTTAAAAGCCTTAGTGCTGGACCACAGCCCTGAAACCTCAACCTTAGTTAATGGAAGTTTGAGTGTTTTGAGAAATTAGGGAGTCAACGGCTTTTCTCCCATTCTAAGGAAAGCCAGCAACAACTTAAGTCAGAAGATTTTGACTTAGCATTCACAGTCACGTACTTATTTACTTTTTCAGGGCATAAAGTGACAAGCATACCTAAAGATCTGAAACACTCATGTCCAGTTCTAGTGACACTGGAATTCTATTGGTGGCATTCTATATCTGTCATGCTCTTTCCCTTTCCAAATATGTATTTATAGTTTATCATCTCACAACCTGATAAACTTGATAGGAACAAGGAAATATGGGGGAAAGAAAGAAAGAATGTGTAGATAATGTAATATAGTAAGAAAAGAGAAAACTAGCTGATGATCTCCTTAACAGACAGACCTTTTATGAGAGTAATACTTCTATTTATCAGTCTTCCTGGCCAAACTCGCTAGCTGGAAAGTTCACTTATTCAGTAAAAGTGTATTAGCCTGTGCAGTATTTTAGGTCTTATCCCAGTATCTTTGAGGGGTGAAAAGATGAAAGACAATCTCTCGAGCATGAAGTCTCATAGTGGAGGTAAGATTTGCAAAGATTCTCAGTTAAAAGTAGCTTCTTGAGAGAACACTCTGTTCACTCCCTACACCGAGACTGTGTTTGCGTGCGTGCGTGTGTGTGTGTGTGTGTGTGTGTGTGTGTGTGTGTGTGTGCGCGCGCGCACGCGTATGCCGGTGCAGTTTGCCTCACTTCACATCTTGGGACTGGAGAAGTTTATCTTTCTTCCTCTCCCAGAACACCTCATTACATGGATCATCATATTTACGGTGCTGTTTCATCATTATCCATTTATGCTTCTCTCCCAGCTGATCAAAAACCCCACAAGGATAGAGATTGAGTCGCCCTAAATCTCCCAGCTGCATTTTCTGGGAGCCACGGGGCATCAGGACCACGGTAAGCGCTTTGAAGCAGGTTAAATGAAGCATCAAATCCCGTCTAACACAGAGGAAATACGACATCTGACCAAGTGAGGACGCTAACTACAATGCCAGGGGCTAGTGGTTTCGCATTCTACTTTCCGGGTCCTAGAAGGGAGTTAAAGTAGGTGATTTTTTTTTCTTTTTTCCAATTGAAAAATTACTGTTTAAATAATGTTGAGGTCAAATAAGCAAATACATGTCCTGGCACCTAGGTTTTACGGTCAAATAAAAACAATTTCCTGGCTGTTGAGCGTCAAAAATGACTATTGTAAAACCTGCCTGGTTCCGCATGTTCTCGGGCTCCATTGACAAAAGTGACTTCCCACGCCTGGCCCACAGAGGGCATCCCTGCGCGCGGAGACGCAGACCTGGCGAAGGCGGCTGCTGGAAGCCTCCTCTGTCCGCTCTTTTTTCCTGAGCCTTCTCTCGGCCCCCACCCCCCTTCGCGTGGAATCCTTGCCTGATCCAGTTCGTTTCCCTCCGGTCTCCACATTTTCCCTTCCAGCCCTCCACTTCTCCGGATCAATGGATAGTACGGTTCCAACTCCCCGCTCACACACCGCTGGCGGACACCCCAGTAACAAGTGAGAGCGCTCCACCCCTCGGCCCCCGCCTCTCGCCCTCGGTCCCGCAGCTCTTGGAAGCAAAAGAAACAGCATCGCTAGCTCTTGCGCGGATTTTTCTCTTCAACTTTCCCCAACCGACGACATGGACCTGGCCTCAACCTTTTAATGCACAAGGCGGCCTCTGGATTGCTTCCCCGCTCCTCTGGGTCCCTCCTGGATATTCTGTTTATTGATGACTGGCAAACCCCACGGAGACCTGTCTTCTGTTCTCTGGCTCCCTCTCCTTCCTTGAGTTAGTTTTCTGAGGTTTTACTGGGGCTTCAGATCTCTTGGACCGGATGGAACTTTTTGCTGTCTCTTTTTGCTACTGATTCTGCCAGTGGGCACGGAAAAAGGCTTCGGATCCAAAAAGGCGCAGGGGAAGTGGAGAGAGAGGTGGAGGAAGAGGACGAAGAGGAGGAGGAGGAGGAAGTCGAAGGGGCTCGGTGCGTGTGTGTATGTGTGCATGCGTGTGTGAGTGTATGTGTGTGAGTGCCGCCGCTGCCCAGGACCCCCGACCCCGAAGGTGTTGGCTGAAATATGGAGAATAGTCTTGGATGTGTTTGGGTACCCAGGCTGGCTTTTGTACTCTTCGGAGCTTCCCTGCTCAGCGCGCATCTTCAAGTCACCGGTAAGAGGTTCTTTCCTTTCTTCTCGTCGCTCCCCCACCCCATTAGCCTTTTTCCCTTCTTACAGAATTTGGAGAGACTAGAATTATGGTGGAGGGGACATAAGACACTCCACCACTCTCCTTGTCCCTAGTTGCCTCGTGGGGGATAAAAGACAGAAGACTTTTTTCCCCTGGGGCAGAGGATGTTGGTGGCATGGAGAGGGGCACCCTTTCGCTGTTTTGAAATCCAGTGCTTCTGGAACCTTTGCTTTTGCAGATAACTTGCTTCGGTTTGGAGAGCTGGCGAGCTGGGACAGGTGACAGGAACGTTGTTGAAAGTCAGTGGGTTGGAATCCTTAAAGCCTGAGAAACCTGTGCGGGGTCGGGGTGGGGGTAGAATTGGGGCAACAGGAGCAAGCGAAGGTGGCCACAGAGGGGCTTTCAAACGGCGTGCGCACGGGACTGAGGCGTTTTTATGCCAATAGTGCTCCTCCTGGGTTTGTTTTGAGACTTGCTATGGAGAAATGGGAAAAGGGACAGCTAATGGGTTTCGGTAATTCGTAGAAGGGGATCATGGTGCCCAAGGGAGTGCAGAGTTGGCAGCAGGAGGCAGGGGTGTGTGTGTGTGTGTGTGTGTGTGTGTGTGTGTGTGTGTGTGTGTGCTTGTTTGTTTGTTTGTTTTAATGGTGAATGCAGTTCACAAGCTAAGTATTCAAATATCTCCAGGACGCTTCCAAACTCCAAATGATTGATATTCTGGGGAACCGGCCCCCTGGTCCTAGCCCTTGGCAAACCCGGTTTCTAATTATAAATGGCAAAACTGTTTGGGGCTGGACAGGGCTAAAGGCGGAGAAAGGGGGGTCTGAAGGCTGCTCTGGGCTGCTGCAGTTCGTGGGTACAGAGCTGCAGCTTGCATGGCCAAAAGAAATAAAAAGAAAAGGAAAGAGCGTGCGAAGTGACTTCTTATAAGATTTACTCGGTTTTGGGCACTTCGTCACTAGTAGATGCACACTGGGGTAGAGGAGTCGGCCTGGTGGGAAGGAGAGAGGCGCCTGGGGCTGAGCATTTAAATCTCTTAGTAAAGGACCTTTCCCCAAATCCAAAGGAAAAGACTGAGCCAGCAGGAATCGCATCTTGGGTAGGAGCACCCGAACCTGCTCCTTGAAAATTAATGGGGATTAGAATTAAATCGCTGCGGCCAAGTCTTGTCTCCCTGGAATCCTAGTGCTGGTTTTCTCATCCCTGCTACGTGCTACAAGGCCAACCGCTGCCAACGCTAGCAGAGTAAGCGCCTCTCCTCAGTCGCCAGGGATTCAGGCAGGCATGCGCCAGCCTTCCCGAGGCTTCCCAAAGCCTGTCGCCGACCGACCCACGCAGGCAGGAATCTTGCGCGTGCACACAGACCCAACTCCTCATCTTCCTTTGGACAGAGAGAGAGCGTTAGTGTGTGTGTGTGTGTGTGTGTGTGTGTGTGTGTGTGTGTGGTCTGTGTGTGCACGTGCACGAGAGTGTAGTGCGCGCAGACCTGCACCTCCGCGCTCAGCTGCCCGCGGACCCTCCTCCCTCTGGGCCACTTCCCTCCTCCCCAGTTTTCTTTCCCAGAGCTTTGTCCTGGGCAATTACTCCCGCGGAAGGTGGGCGGGACCCGGAGCATCCTAACTGTAATGAATAGGTGTCTTTTTAAAATTCCTTCCTTGTGATCTGCAGAGGTTTGGATGTTGTGGCTGGGAGGACCCTCCTTATGGCACGGATTAACTTGAGCTCATTCTGATAGTTTGGGATACTCCCTGGCTGGGCAGAAAGTGTGCAGAATCTTGAGGCACCCGTGACCTAAAATGCTCTGGCTGAAGATATCACATTAAACAAGATGTGCAAAAAAGAACCATGATAGTAGTTCACAATTTTAAAAGCCATTTCCCATATGACTTCTGTCCTGCAGAGGTTGGGAGGAAATGAATGGAGGTGGAATTAAAATATGCTTTATTGCCATCTAAATTAATTAAATATCCAGAGTTAGGATCATTTATTGATGCTATACTTTAATTTCCTTCTCAAATTTTTTTATTTTTGTTTTTCATAGACAAATATATGTTTGGAAAGGCAGACACAATATACATATACAAATGGTATGCTGCTTTTTGGGCTTACAGATTTTCATCATTAAACTTCTCTGTACTTCTAAATTCCTTTCTGTTATTTGCAAACAAATTGTGACACAATTTTTATGGATCTTACAAAAGTGAATGATACACTTTTAAGATACTGTTAATTCCAATCACTCTATTTATTTTCTTTAAAAAAAATCTTAGCTATTTCCTCTTTAGGAACATGATAGGAAATTGATAAAGTAAGCACAGTTCACTCTAAGAAAGGACCAGTAGGAGGTGCCCTTAATAAGGCCAAATGTCTAGTTTACCGGCAGTGAAGTCCATTCAGTACAGGATTTTAAAGACTTTGTTGATTGGTAACAAAGGATTATGGAGAGGAGCACAATAGGAGTAAGCTCTTTCCTGCTCTCTAGATAAAGTCTGAAGCTGCTGTGGATTTGTATGAGCTTGTTGTGACACAACAAAGGACATCTCTGGTCATTGTCATGCTAGGGTGAGGACTTGATGCTGAGGGAGGAGGGCTGTGGCCTTTTAGTTGACTGTTCTAAAATGTCATCTTCTGTATTTGACATGAGCCACAGGCAGAGACATCCAGGTGCAAATATCTCTAGTTCTCTCAGTAAAATGAGCATTTTAGATGTTAATACACGAAATAGGTATATCACTAATTAATTATTCATAAGTGTTTTCATTGCCTTCTGTTGAAAATAGTCAGGGAGAGTTTGGGTAGTGTAGCTCCAATGAAGGGAGGTTTGCTGCTTGCCCTAACCACCTCCTTTTCATTGCCCCAACCAAAGCAGGTCAGATCCCCCTTCTGGGTTTGCTGTTGAGTGGACAGTGCATGGGCAGGACGACCATCCACTCCTCTGTGAGTGCTGCAGTATAAATCATAGTGACCTGTCTGTCTCAGTATCCATTTCTCACACAGCAGCAGCTGCCCTCTGAGTTATGAAGCATGTGTAACGGCCCCCACATGTGTTATATGGGAATATATTAGGGCTTAGTGCATTTGCTTTAATGCTCTTAAAAGCTGGGCTGGCGTGAGCTGCTGATAGGTACTTTTTTATTTTTTCTTGAGAGAGATTTATAACTTCTCAGTGTATATGACTTACATTCATTCCCTGGAAAGTTAATCTCTCAGCAAACTTCTATTGTTTTCATTGAGGAAGAACAGCTTTAACCCTCTGTAAGTTACTGAATGGAGCTTTGCTGAAACTTGCTCCTGGAGCAAAGGATCTTTGTAGGAAGCAAGATGGGTTTCTAAGCCAGTAGGGAACTTGACAAGAGATTTGGGGAGATGAATCATCTGAGGAGAGGGGATAATATTTTTACTTATTTCTAGAGAGAGAAGAGATGATAATGCATCTTCTAAGGGAATCCCAACACCCGCTACCTCAAAAGCCTCACTTCTGAAAGGAGAAATGTTTATCCTTTCTGACTCATTTTCTGTTTGGTAGATTCTAGAGTCAAATTCAAATATATGTGGCTTGTATCTGGAATGTTCCCAGCTGCACACAGTAGGCTTATCTAATCTAGCATGATTATTATCCTTTGGGACCTAGCCCTTATTTAAATCTCAGTTTTCTCACCAAAACTGTTTTTTTTTTTTTAATTTCCCCCTTGTGTTCATGTCTAAAGGCGGTGCTCAAGTTTCTGAACCCAGTATTTCTTTCAATGTGATACTATGCCTTAAAATTACACTTTATTTCCTTTGAGAAATTGGCATCCTAAACGTTATAAACAAATGTTTTCCTCATGATTCTACCAGCCAGGATAACTATATTGAAAAACATACAGTTGTCTTTCATAATTTTCTTAAGTTAAAACACCAGCATACACATGTAAAGAAGATATACGTTCATTTTTCATTCCTTCTCCTCTGATGTGTAACACTGGGATGATTTAGGGTAGCATAATTATGTAATAACACTTGTGATTCCAATAGTAAATGAGTTCTTCTGGCCTGGCTATAGCTTTCCCCAGTTGCCAGAGGTCTGGTCTGCATAGAGATGAGGAACTCATGACAAATTGAAAATATGATGCTGTGTTTGATGTTTGTTATACAAACTATCAGCTTGAATGATAAAATTTGGTTGGATTAATCTATCTCCAGTGATAAGCTCTAGATGAACTATATGCATAAATTTCTGGAAACCTTAGTTTTGTTTGAGTGAAAAGAATAATGACATAAACTCTCTGAGAATTGCTTGATTAATTAATGAAAGATAAAAGTCACTCAGTTCTTAAAGATACCATAGTCTTTTAAGTGACATGGTAAATACTATACACAGTTACAATTCAAGTAAATGTGGCATCTTTCCTTTTGCTTTCCTCTCATTGTGATGTTGCAGAGATGGATTTAAGACCTTCATGAGTTGTCACAACAGTTGTACCTTAATGAACCTTAGCTTAGGATCTCCCTAACTGATGATTGAAACATACTGAATTAAATATGAACTCAATGCCCAATGAGTTGTTTGGCAGCCTCCTATGGGCTGCTTTTTTTTTTTTTTTTTTCTAGCCTACCTCTGAAGAATCATATCTCTCTTCTTCAATCTGTAGAATATAAATACTGCTCTCTTGATGGAGCCCCAGGAGTCTTTCTCACTTGGAAACCAAGTCTCTCATTTAGGACAAGGCATAACATGCTGTATTACACTTTGCAAGGTTATAGACATTTACCTTTAAACATAGTTTTAAATTTTCATGAGTATGGAGAGTTATGTTGCATGGTAAAAAGAGCTACTTAGACTGTCACTCTAGGAGACTCTAACCTTTCTGTGGCCTCCGAGCCAATATTACCAAAGTTCTGGCACTCAAGAGCTTTGAGAAGAGACAGGAGTGAATTCTACAGGATCAATGATTATGTCAACCTAGGTATATTATTTGTCTACAAAGGTGATACTAGGTGGA